ACTACTATGTTTATTCGCCATGTGATGACTCAAGGCCTTGCTCCCAATTTAGTGAATCATTGGATACTTTACAAATTACCTAGAACAGAGAAATTAGGAATACCTTGTGGATGTTCGATGAAAAGACCGATTTGACTAACTTGAAAATTAGTTGTTGGCGTGCAGAAATACAATATACATGAAGTAAGTATCCGTTTCCAATCAATAAGACTAGAGATCGTTAAAGGGATTGGCTCATTGTCAGTTTTTTGTTGTCACGACAAGAGCAGGATATTTTGAAAATACAAAAAATAGTATTGAAGGAAAAACCCTGGCATTTTATTGGGCTGTTTGGAATCGCCGTTCATGTCGCGGAGGGCAACTGGGCACATGGAGTCTGCGGGGGCGTTTGTAGTGGGTGGGAAAATAAACTCTTGATAAGGCAATACACACTTTCTGTACCCTGACGCTTCGTGTGCCAGATTCGAATGTTATTAAGGGAATGCCGACGGTATAGTCAATCAGTTACGCGCTGGAAAGAAAATGTCTCTGCGCCTCTCCTCCAGGGCCCTCTCTCTCCCCTGTTGGCTACTTGCCAATTTGTTGATGGGGGGGATCGACACATGCCGTCGGCAGCCGTTTAAAGAATTGCTAGGCCCGGCCGGAAATTGTTTTGTTTTTTTAAATTTTTACCATTTTGAACGGGCAACATAAAAAGGCGAAAAAGCGAAAGTGCGTCATACATTGATGAATCACCAGGGAGATCAAACACTACGCCGTACCTGCAATTGTAAAGGCTGATCGTTACACCGACGGTTGGTCGGGGTTATGTCGCTTTCGAAAAACCAGAAAGATAGGGAAATCGATACACAATCTTAGTAGATGCGCTCTTATCATTCACACAATTTTTTGGGCAGGTTTTGGTCATGATGTAATTTTATTTCAAAACCTGAACGTGAACTCACCGCGGTCCCCAAGTATTGTTATCGACGGCACGTTCCCGGGGCCAAAAGTCTTATCTCGATGCATGCGCGTTCACCAGGCGTCTATATAGCTTTATCGGTCGAGGCACTGATCGACTCGGTTTTTTGAGCTCTATTTTTTTCTGTGCGAGCTGCACCTGCTGGACTTTAAGCAGCTATATGCCTAGGCAGGGAATGTTGAAGAGTCGATTATTTTGGTTGACCGTTATTTTCTGGACATCCTATGCAGAACCCGATGCCTCAATGCAGTCCCGTCCCTTGATTGGAGATTACCTTGTCGAACCAAGGGACAAGGGTGTAGTACTTCCGGCTGTAAATGGTATGTTTTAGATAGAGTGGCTATGGTTCAGTTCCCCCCCCCCCTTCCCCGCCGACCCCGACCTACTGTATCTCGACAACCCGTTGTTGTAGGGGTCTGTAAAGTATACCAAGGTACTCGCCAGAGCAAGGCGAACATTTTGGTAAACTCAACACAACTGTGGATGAACAGGGAGCCGAGATGCAAACGTTGGGTGTCGGCTGGGGGGGGTAAACTGAACTTTAAGCGATCGAGCAATCCGCGAGTTTCTAGGGATCATTGCCAACTTTACGTACGACATGTGCAAGACAAAATTTGTCGACGTCACCGGTCAGCCTTTTACATCAGGGCGAGGCCATCGTGTACAATTTGGCGCAGCATGACTGCAAAACGTAACTAGTCGTTCAATCCTTTGCATAGACAACTACAAGGTGCCCCAAGAAAAAACCGCCCCTCGGCGTTTGGCCGTCTTCTATCCTATCGGTCAGAAATTTTACCCAGCAATGGGAACCCATAACAACTATGTACAGCCGATTTTCTAAGCAAAATATTGTAAAGAAAAAAAAGTTATCGCTACAAACGGATTTTTTTGGAAAGATTGGCACTTGCTTTTGGCTGTTTTCACAATTAGCATGCCGATGTTCAGTAGTTTTCCGGAAAACAGTAATTTTCGGCTAGGTTTCTGCCAATTTTGATAAAAAAGAGTGATCAAGGCCAAGTTTAGAAACAAAACAAAGAATTTGCGCAGGGAAAAAAGTGTTCGCTCTCCATTTTTGCCAAATATTTCGTTATGAACTCCGTCAAATTTCCGGGGGAGATCGGTCAAATGAACCTTATTTTCGCTATTACTTTTGTGTTTTGCAATATTCAGCTTAGAAAATTCTGAATTCGCAATTTTTGATAGGTGCCCATCGCTGGTAAAAGTTTGGTCCCGTTCCCATACAAAACGGTAAAACGCTGACGGGCGGTATTGGGATACCCTGTACATATCCAATAAAAAATTCCTAAAAATACAGGACGCTGACCTCCGTCTACTTCCCGCCAGCCAGCCAAAAAATGCTATCAGATTGTCGCTACACTGGACGGGAAATCGATCGCCATGCCGAACGAGTTGGTCAATTCATGACTTGAAATTTTGAAGCCTTGCCTTGACTCATACGATCAATTGTGAATCACCAATGGGCAAAACTGCTGTGTTGGATATACCTCAAAAACGCAAAATTTCAGCGGCGACAATCAAACCGTGTTCACAATCGCGCCCGGGCAGTTGCGCATCGACATTCAGGCACTATCAGACACGGGGCAATGCGCGACGTACCATCAGCTTTTTGCGAATAGTGATGGTAATGTTATTTGTTGGGAATCTGCCAAAAGCCCGCAAACCAAAACTTCGAATTTTTATAACCTCGGAGATCAGAATCGCAAACATTACATCTCCACTATTCGTAGCTCCAGGCCTGTGATAGATGTTAGAAAGATATCATTGGAAGTCCACTTATAACGGCTCCTGAGTCCGTTTGGGAGGATAGTGAAATTCTTCAAGCTAAAAACTAATCATTTCAGCGGCAAAAGACTACCGTATTCTCATTTCCGCCCCACAAGGCATCGACGACGATGACAAATACTTGTTCCGAAAGGGCTCTGAAGGAAAATATATCTACTATCGGGTAACATCAGCCCTAATTTTTCTACTCAATTTTCGATTCTCAGCATTCAACTCAACCCCAGCCCAGCATCTCGTTCGATTTGAAGGGCCTCTGCGCGGTCAACTTTTTTAAAGGCTTGATCGAGTCGGAAGCCACACAGTTTTACGGGTAACTGCGAAAAAAAAGCAGATCTAACAAAACGCCCAGCGGTCTAGGCAAAATCGGGGACCGTGTCTTCCACCGCGATGTAATGCCAGCAGAAATATTTTCGCACTTTGTTATACTGGACGTGATCAGTGCGGACTATTGCAGTTTGACGGCGAGTCGGGGGACAAGTCTAGGTAAGACAATGGCGGTATCACGATTTTCTTTACAATGGTTATTGTAATATGCTGTGATTCAGCGTGCAATACACAATTCGTCACGGGCTGCGCGTCCGGCGTGTTGGACATTCCACAATACTGTAATCGTGGCGGTGCTCAGGCGATGGCATATCGAGTTAACGCTGTAAGTCCGAGTTTTAAGTAAGTTCAACGATGCGGAAAATCAAGCGAGCACGGGTATACTGTGGGGCTTTAGAGGGTCAGAAAACGCTGTTAATGTTCGAGAAACTCGTAAACCCGCGGCTTTTTCCTTTGCGTAATCTATTAAACCTCTTTCACGGCGGCTTGCGTTACTTCCATTGCCTAACTTTCAGGAGTTTTTATATAGGCTCGCAATTCTATCCGGGATCAAAAGAACCCTGTGCATAATTTTTCGCAGATTCCAAATTTGCTTCTCAAATTGTGCGGAAGAGCCCGATTTTCAAAATTACAAAGATTTTCGTTACAAATTGGCCGAAATGATGAATTTTTGTCGAATTCTTTATGGATAAACATATCATGGCGTGGAAAAAGATGCTGTTCAAAGGAGCTATCCCTCGCACCTGTAACTCAAATTTTGTAATTTTCTTGATTTTCCTGGTTTTGCCATTGGGTAATGGTTGGAATTTCTGAATCTCGAAATTTCGGAATCTCGAAATTTCCGAATCTCGAAATGGCGGAATCTCGAAATTTCGGAATCTCGAAATTCCGGAAGTATTCGAGATTCCGAAATTTCGAGAATCCGACCCCTACCCTTGCCATTCCTTACTTATGCCTTTTTAATCCAAAAATGTTGTAGTAAACGATCTAGACCTGCGAGCAGCTCGGTGGCTCGGGTGGACTTGTCTTCGGGCTGATGAACCCGATCCCGGCCGGAATGGAAGTTGAGGTGGCTTACGCAAATCACATGACGTGAGTTCTGACGCATCATGCTTGAATACTTTTTGCATCAAATTTAGTTTGCTAAATGATGTCAAAAATTATGCGTTAAACACCAATGAAAGCACTGCGATGATATCGTACGCTTGGAGCTGCTCGGTGCTGGGTTTTCCAGATGCATGCGCACACAATATTTTTATAAGGCAAGCCAAATTTACAAACACTATTGTATGTTTAGATACTCGAGTGGTGAGGACACTTTTTGGTCTCCTAGTTCTGCAAGGGGTAGGAAAAATCCTTTATGCGTGAGAATTTGTTTTAGCCAGGGTTTCGTAAAAATTCGCGTGTGTGTTTTTAGGCATTGGAACGACCCTTGCAGCACTTCTCGTCATAACCCTCAGCATGCCATAATTGTATCATTCGCTAATTTATAAATTGCAAATTTGCATCATCGTACTGAAAATACATTACAACATATGTACTCTCTCTCTCGACTGCCAAATCCTCTTTACGGAAATGGCGCGCTTCTCTACGTACATGGTGTAAATTTTGGAGTCAGGCCAGACCCTAAAGAGGCTAGACCTAAAAATGTCTTTTTTTAGTTGTCTTGGCAAAATTTTATTCCGACAACATGAAGTAACGACGAATTGATTTTTCGACAAAATGAAGATAAACCATTTCGAATATCGCCTCGGAAAAGCGGCCTGCAAAATTGATACTGGCAACGCGAAGCACGCTAGGCTTCAGCTCGGGAACGGTTAGAACACAATACCGTAGCGCCATCGCGCTGGCCTTCCATAGATTACCCACTGAGCAAATTCAATACGAGGCGGAAGTTGTGGGGTGGTATCGCCGAAAATATGCTCCAGTCTTGCAGCGGCAGTTCGAATTAGTTGCTGAATTCGTTTTATGGCTTTGTGTGCGCACCGGTACCGGAGTAATTTAAGGCCAAAACACGCCAAGTACACGTTATTGACTAGGGAGGCTAGTGTAGCAGTAGTCATCTCCGATCCACCGAAAACGGCTCGTGCAGCAACCTAAGAACCCCCGGTGATGTTACTATTAATGCGTGGTCTATGTTGAGCGCCGAATTAATCATAATATTCAACATCGATCTGCTGCTGATAGCAGTCGAAACATTTTGGCTATTTGCCATGTTTCACGCTAAAAAATTACTACCAATGTATCGGATTAGACAATTTTGTCTAATTACTGATGTAATGAACAATATATTTCGTATGATTCATGATCAGCCGGACCAGTGGTATGAGCAAGAGCTTTATGCCGAGCAGAAACACCCCTAAATATCGCGGTTTTTAGCTCCGATTTTTGTCAACATCAAGGTATTCATAAGTGCTTTCCGTTGGTACGGACAACTTACGCTTACGGTATCACTGGCAATATGCCATTTCGCGGTCATTCACATGCCGATACAATATCAAAATATTACTACGAAAGCAATGCTGCTAGTGATCGCAGTTTTTCTATTACCTGCTCTTGGTAATTTTTCGATACCTTTGTGCCTTAGCTTTTTATTTGCAAATTTTTAGCACTGGCCATCATTTTGCTCTTCGATTGCTGTGGCTTCAAATATTTTGTGCCCGGTTTTTATTGGAACCTGGACCCGGAGAAGCCTGGATATCCGTATTTTGTGGTAGCTGGGTACGGACTACAGGTAGGCATAATCTTTACTTTTACTTTTGCATTCCATGCCTAAAGGAGCTAGGAAATGTCAGAACCGACCCCTTCCATCCACTAGGTCTAGGCAGATAAGCTACGCGTCAAGCTGGGCCCAAGCTGATTTTGGCAATCTAGAGAGATCGACTTGCACGCGTTTTCACGTAGCTGTCGAGACCTAGCCGGCTACGGGGTCGATTTTTTTGGCTTCTAAAACCTTTAATCGGAGCAATATTTCAGGGTCTCGCTGTTGCCTCGCTATTTATCGCTGATCTTATCCTACTCTTGAAATTGCATTCAATGGCTGGGGCTAGACGTGTTCGTCTATGAAATCGAAAGAACACACAAGTTTTTAGCTATCACGAATCTTCGTGGCCCAAGCGAAAAATCAGGCAATAACTGTGGTCAAATGCCCGCGAAAGGCCAATACCTCGAAATTTCAGGTAACAACGTAACTATTAACTTAAAGCATCCGAAAATTTAGCTATCGGTTTGGTTCCGGGGCCTAGCTTCGGAAACTCGGCTATCGTTATGTCTTCTCTTTTACACCCTCGGTTTCATTGCCGGGAACTTGAATTTCTTTGTGATGTGGAGGTACGTTAAGCACCTATTTACGGTATTGAAACTGGAAATAAACGTGTTATTAAATTACATTAATCTTCCAGGTTCCCTGGTCCCATCACCACCGTAATAACCGCGATTTTCAACATTGCCTACTACATGAAATTTTCGTTGTACGCCTTGACGGCAATAATAAAGACGGTCTGAAGAAATGATAACCGGTGGCTTTTTATTTTTCTATTTTCATATCATTTAATGGGCTTTACAACGTTCACGGTCGCCTTGCTGTTTTTGCTGCTTGAGCGGTCACGTGGGAGGGTCACACCAAAAAACTTGATGCACCGGCCGCATCCGAAAGTCGTCATGGCAGCCGCTCGTACTTTGCTTGCCTAAAAATGGAGGATTTTCGATCCAAATTTATGATTAGAAAAATACGCAAGTCTGGGAGGCATAGAAATTTCGATAAAAAATGCGTTTTCGATCAAAATATCGTTTTAAGACATCCTCTACGCTAAGACAACGTCCCTCACAGAAGTAGAATTCCCGGATTCCATAACCGTACGAACCTACCATAATTAGCGTAATTAAAGGTATAAAAAGTGTCGTGCCAATCACGGCGTAGATGTTGGCGGGCCGCGAGAACCAAACCGGCACTTCGTACACTAGAAACCAATAACATTTTCAGAGTTGTTAGGCCATCAGGAATATTCCGTCTGAATCCTTTTTACAACTCACTTTCCGTCACAACCCCAAATTTGAAAAGACGAAAAAAGTGGTGGCCAAGAAGGGGATCCACGTCTGACGGTAGATGACGTTGACCAGCTGGCCGTCTTTCATCTTGGCGCCTGCAAGTGTGGTTTTTTTTAAAAAAAAAACAGGCAACAAAAAAAATGCCTTTCCACCTGTAGCTTTCCAGTGAATTATGGCGGGTCAGCGCGACCCAACGCGTGACGCTTTTCCCTAGCGTAATGCATTACGAAAGCTTTTCGAGGCCAAACGGTGAGGTACGCGCGTGGACTGCCGCGGTACTTACAAGATTCTAGAGCGTTTCTTAAACGCGTATACTTTCCATCCTATAAAGACTGGAACGCACACTGTCACCCCAAGGGTGGCGGCCCCAAGAACGCGCGGAGAGAGGCGTCATTAGTGGTGCCTCGTATTGAGCAAAGGCCCTATGGGGTTTGGTGCGCCTCTGACTCGCCCTCACCACTTGGCCCTGTGGTATATTGGCTAGCGCGCCGGACTGTGGAGCGAACCATCGCGTGTTCGACCCCCGCCCGGTGCGCAAGTTTCTTACTCTTTCTTACTTTCTTTCTTTTCATCGTTCTGGCGGTCTGTAAAACCTTATGTATTTGAAATTTTTGGTGTTTATGCTTTTGACAAGCCTATCGGAACTACCACCAAAATACCTCGCACACACCTTTCTCGAGCAGGAAGTATCTCACGCGCATTGAAGCGCATTACCAAAGCATATGCCGACCTACAGCGTGGGCACCGTAACGGCTAAAAGTGCTAAAAACCGCGGTTTGCACACGTTTTTCGCCTTGAAAAATCCCACACCTACAGGAATTTGGGTATACCTACTCACCCCACACACTTGGCAAAAAGCCAGCGGCGATTACCGTGGCTTGGGGAAGCATAAAAACACATGTTTTTGTCGGGGCAGGGTCACACGGCGAATCATACAGGGTGTCCCAAAATTATCCGGACAAAAAACTAAAATTAAAATGACTTTCAAGTTTTCCGCTGTTTTCGGCCCCCGCATTGTATTTCATAATATTTTTTGAGGCATTTTCGATGCACCGTGCAAAAAAATTCTTGGAGAACGAATTAATAGCTTCACAAGCGAGCGAAGAGCATGTTAAAATTTTTCGCCTCTTAAATAACATAAAAACTGGGGTAAGCTTTCAAAATGTGTTCAGACATTTTTGTGGGCTAGAAATGACGTTTTCTGGCAAAACGGACCCTACTTCTTAAGTTCCATCATGTTAATGTCTTCATTTTTCCCGTTTAATACCGGTTTCCGTCCCCTTACTGGTCAAGGTGTTTCGATGCTTGCTCGTGCTCAAGCTCCTCAAAAACCTAAGTTATCTTAATTTAAATAGCTTGTACTTTATCGTTACCGTCAAAAGTTTATTCTCTGGTCTTGGACAAGATTAATATCGCGTTTTTAGGGTTCCTCCAGAGCAAATCCTTTAAAGTGACTGGGGCGGCGCGTACCTTGATTTTCAGCTTTTTTGCCCGCTGTTTTTTTTTCCTTGGTGGTAAACCCTGGGGTTTTGGCCCCAGCTAGAGTGTTGACTGATCTTTTCCGAACTCTTCCAGTGGTTTCTTAGTTGGTCCGATCATGCAGAAGTTTTTTTATGGGATCGGAGCAACGCGCTTTTTCAGGCGTTTGCAAGGGCAGGGAATTTCGTTCAACCTTCGTCGATTTGTGCCGAAGAGATATAATGAATTCGCGCGCAGTTTTCTTTTTCAGCTATTTAAATACCCTTCCCAATAATTCATGAGAAATTGGAAATATGGTCCGCGAAAACAGGGAAAAATAGGAAGAAACCGCTTTGAAACTTTGTCCAGGATAATTTTGGGACACCCTGTAG